ACAGAGCAGAAGACCTTATGAGATGGACCTCTATTGGAAAAGACTCTTCAGCCATTTTCTCATTTCCCGTTTACCTCTCAGTCCCTTGCAATCTGGCTTTCATTCTCACCACTTGACTGAAACTATTCTTTCTAAAATCACTAATGATCTTACTACTGACTCCGATGACCTTTTCTCACTTCTCATTCTTCTTGACCTCTCCGTATCATTCGACAATGTTGACCACTTCCTTTTTCTGGATACTCTGTCGTTCCTAGATTTTCATGACATTTCTCTCTCTTGATTTTCTCTTGTCTGTCTGATCAATTCTGCTCACTTTCCTTTACAGAATTCTGGTTTTGTTCCCCTATCTGTGAATATGCTCCAGGGCTTTGTCTTAGGTCTTCTTGTCTATCTCTAATCTCTCTTGGTGATCTCATCAGTTTCCATGGATTAACCATTAATACAGATTATCCATAAATCTACATATCCAATTTTCATCTCTCTCCTGAATTCAAGTCCTACGTCTCCAGCTGTCTGATGAACATCTCTACCTGATGTCCCTTTGGCATTCCAGGCTCAACAGTCTGGAGTAGAATTCACTATAACTAATCATACCTCTCCTCCTAACCTTTCTATTTTTTCCAGGGGCACCTCTATTTTTTAAGCCACCCTAGTTTACAACCTAGCAATCATTCTCAACTCTTTACTCTCATTCAAACAACAGATTCAATTTATTCATATTTTGCATCTATCTCCCTTCTACTCACAGGCTAACACTTTAATTTTGGCCTCCTTTCTAAACTACATATTAGTCTGGGAAATGGAGTTGCTAATCTTCACAGAATCACAGAAGCTCAGAGTTGCAACAGACCTTTCCTCCTCTTCCAGCCCTCCCACACCACTGAGAAGGCAAGACTTATCTATACATCTTTTCCCAACCCTAGCAAAATATAAGTTCGTTAAGAGCTAATGGATGGTTTTGTTTGTTTATATTCTTAGCTTCCAAAACCATACTTAGCATATAATACATGCTTAACAAATCCTTATTGAATTTAATTTAATCTAGAGTCCAGACACTGGAGAATATAAATTGTGGGCTACTGAGAGACTTAGGACACTATAAGTCTTTAGGGTTCTGTAATTTTTATGTTGCAGAATATATAATTATTGATTTTCTTTATTTTTAATAAAACTACCTTCTGAAACTCTCTGATCAATGTATGCCTCCAAGCCAGCGAATTGGCATGATACTAATTTATTATCCAATAGGGAGATTGTCCTGGAATTTCTGAGTGGATATTTGAGCCAAGAGAAATGTAATTCTCATTCCTTGCCCCCCTGCCCACATACACCTTCACCCCCACCCCTAACAGTTAAGTAATTCTGGCCCTTCATAATGCCATGGACAGTTGATAACTCATATATTCCATCAATCAAAGCAAAAAGAAGGAATGGCAATTTATAATAATGAAATATATACTTCTACCTGTAAATTTTCTAACCTTTCTTTCCTTTAATTCCCCCAAATGGTAGGTTAGGTGGGTCTACACAGCACGAAATGAAGTGGAAATTATTTTGGTAGTATCAAGTTGTTTGATTCATAGAAGGAGCTTGCCCATTGCAAGGAAACTACAGATCCATCCAAGCATCAGTGATGGAATGATGGAAATAATTTCAGAAGTCGAACACCCCTCCCATGACCAGTGGAGTAGAAGGAACACTGGATTTAAAATCTGGCGCTGTTGTTGAACTTGGGCACATCTCTGAGGCTCTGTTTCTTCACCAGTAAAATGAACTTTAAGGTACCTCCCAGTTCCAAACTTATAATCTTATTAAAAATGTGTCCTCCTGAGCTCACGTTTTAAGCCTAGTGCACTAAGATGTCAAGTGATTTTGCTAGAGTAACCCAGCCAGTGCATGTCAGAGGCAGAATTGAACCCAGCTCTTCTCAACCCAGGCCAATTTTATATCCACTAATCCATGCTGCCTCTTGGACATAGTTGACATTAGATCTATATTTGTTAAAATTCAATTGAATGAAATAATACAGAAGGCAGCATGCTTCTTATAAGATTCAAATAGGTAAGATTATATTGAACATGTTCTCATTTGTAAATATTAAAAGGAATTCTCCATGAAGGAAATTTTCCCAAGATGTTGCACAGGAGAGCTAGCTCGTAAATTGATATTCTGGGATAGTTAAAAATATATATAGCAAAATATATGTGCAGACTTGTGTGGTGGTGCTTAGCACGGCACCTGGCACGTAGTAGGTGCTTAATAAATATTGTTTGATTGGTGCGTACTTACAATTCCTGCTGCTGGGGAGATTGAGGCAATGAATAGTATGAATTTGGGATCTCCTAGCTGCAGTAGGGCTAAGCCAATTGGGTTTCCACATCAAGTTTGGCATCAATGTGCTAAGTCTGTGTTTGGAAGGCCACCAGAGAACCAAAGAAGGAGAAAACTTGCCCATGTTGGAAAAAACAGAGCAGGTTAAAACTTCCATGCCAATCAGTATTGGGATCAAATCCATGAGTTACCACTGTACTTCCAACAAGATAGGGAGGCCTAATCTCAAAAAAAGAAAAAAAAACACGTATACTATATCTGTATGTGTATAGTCTTAGGAAGTTTAAATACACAATTCTTTTCCTTGCATTACAAAATCACATGTGGTGATATCTTCCATTCGATACATTTAACAAACGGTCCCTTGGAATCTTTAGAACTTGACTGACATTCCTGAAATAATCAGGGAGGCTCCGGCGAGGCAGCTACATCGTAAAAAATGTTGCTTTAATCAGACATATAACGAGAAGCTTTCTGGCAAATGATGAAATAATAATAACAATCTCCACGTATTTAGCAAATCCATTCATTCTGCAAGCATCTATAGAGTGCCAACTATGTGACAGGAACTGGGGTAGTTACTGTGACTGTAAAGACAAAAATGAGATAGCCCTGGCCCTCTAGAGGCCTGCATCCTATTTAAAGGCCCTGGCGGTGTGTGTGTGTGTGTGTGTGTGTGTGTGTGTGTGTGTGTGTGTGTGTGTGTGTGTGTGTGTGTGTGTGTGTGTGTATCGGGGGTAAGGGGATTGGGAAGGAGATTCGACATGCATATAGACAAGTAAATACAATATGCATACAAAATAGATGTCTCGTGGACAGACAAGTAGAGGGATCGGAAATGGCCACTTATAGGAGGCGATGCTTGATCTGCGCCTTGAAACGAGCAAGCTAAGGGTTGCAAGATGTGAGGAGGTGAAGGGACGCACTGTACAAAGACAGAGTTAAGAAATGAAACGTCATGGAGTAGGAGACCAGTTTGGCTAGAGTACAGAGTTCAGGAGTAGGAAAAATATGTGATAAACTCAGGTTAGAATGTAAAAGTTTTTCATTCCCAAACAGAAAGATTTGTGTTTTATCCTAGAGGCAATGGGGAACCTCTGAACCATCTTGAGCAAGAGGATGACATTGGACACTCTTATGGTATTGTGATATACTATGTTGTGATATATTCTGATTATGAAATCCAAAGACAAATATAAGAGTCGACAGAAAGCCGTCTCTAAGATGAATCTTTTCTAAAGCCTTTAGAAATGTCCTTGAATCACAGACGACTACTTTTTAGAAACAGAAAAGAACCGAAAGACCATTTGGTCCCATCACTGAAGGTTTACCAGCTGCTTACTGTGAATGACTTTGTGTGGCAGACAATGCAAGCATTATCATCATCTAACAAATGAGAATCAGAAAAGTTACATGACTTGCTAAAGGTAACAAATTAAAACACGAAAATGTCAAGCAGCTTAACCGTGGTGATCTTCTACAAATCAGGTATTCCAAATATTGACAACTGTACCATTCTGCTATGAATCATGTGTAGCCTGAGTGTTAGGAGCCTCCTTTTTCAGTCATGCTTAGCAATATAGTAACATATGAATTGAAACTCCACAAAGTTCTAGTGGTATAGTGGAAAAATGGAATCTCTGGAGTCAGAATCTCTGGAGTACAGAGGACAAATTCTACCGCATTAATTGCCTTAGGTCTCAGTTTCCTCATCTATAAAGTGAGGCAGTTGGACTAGAACGTCTTTGAGGTCCATTCCAGCTATGTCTCTGATCTGGGTCTTGTGCATCATCCTTGTTTAATGTACCCAGGTGCTTTGAGGGCTGGGCTTGTGAAGTGACAGTCATGGCAAGTTCAAGGCTTCAGTCTGCTTCCTAATGGCCTGTCTAGCTAAGTCCTGAGAGACTCATTACCAGCAGATATGAATCTTTGGCCATGGAAACCCAAAATGGCCCTCCGTCCCATTAGCCCTGCCCACTATGTCTGCTTCTACAGTTTCAGTGACAAAATAGCAGAAAAAGGAGGAAAGGATGGTGCTAAGAATCATAGAATTTTTAGATTATTAACTAAATTGGTCATTGGCACCTTAAATGTAAAATCCTTGCCCAATGACAAGCAGATAAATATAATGCTGGAAGAATTGCAACATTATTCTTGATATTCTTTCCATAAAGAAAACCAGGGGGGAAGGAAATTGTAGCTCAACTGAATGATGGTTCACAGATTCTTCTTGAAGAGGTAAATAAAAGAATTGACAAATTGGTTTTTATTATGCATTCAAAGGAATCAAGAAACATCATTTGTTCATCATATATTCATGTTCATGAGAGGCATTTGCCAAAAAGACAACTATGAAAATAATCACAGCTTATGCACCAATAACAGTTGCAAGGATTGAAAAGTTTTAAAAATTCTACAAAGAATTCTACAAGACTTTCCATAATTAATTAATTAGAGCTAGTATTTATATAGCACTTGAAGGCGTGCAAAGCAATTTATAACTATTATCTCATTTGACCCTCAAAACAACCCTGAGAGGTAGATGATATTACTAGCCCTGTTTTACAGATGAGGAAACTGGAAGCATATAGAAGTTAACTGACTTGCCCAGGGTCACACAGCCACTAAGTATCTAAGACCTAGAATTGAATTCAGATCTTCCTGACTCTCAATTCAAAGTGCTCTCTTTCTCTCTCTCCCTCTCTCTCTCTTTCTCCTATAGATTGCAACTCATAGAAGCCTGTCTATCCTTAGACACAACTCAACAACAACAACAAGATATGAGAGATGTCGTGCAAGTGGAAATGGATATATTTGGATATGTAGCATCACAGGGAATGAAAAGTAAAAAATAATGCTGAGGTTATAAGCCTGGGCAGCCAGAAAATGGTGGAATTATTGAAAATGATGTTGACTCAAGTGACGTTTTGTTCTCAGCCCTCCTTGTCCCAACCTCCAGTGTTGGGAGAGGTTCTGTTGATGGAGGCTCTCCTGGGGAAGGTGTCACTTAGTCTGTAGCTTTTGTACCTGCTGTACATCATGTAGCCTTACTTTTTTGTCCTCACACACTGACTACTGGGTACATGCTGAGATGCAACTAACTGAGATCTCTCTTACCATTGAAGTAGCACTGCTGTCGTAGGATTAGGAACTTTTTAACATTATTCTTCTTCATGCATTGTACACTTCCTGCCTTTCACAAGATTTCATTTCTTCCCTTTGCCACAGAATTGGGAGAGGGCTACCTTGTTTATCACAACTTCACAATCCTCATGGGCTAGAGTAGTCAGGCATTTGAGGATTGTTGTCTGCCAGCAAACACCAGACTCCAATGAGCTAGTCAATGTTGCTTTGGGAGGGAGTGGGTTCCTCCTCACTTGGGATCTTCAAGGAAAGACTCAATTGTTGGGGATGTTACAGAGGAGATTTTTGGTTAGGGACAAGTTGGACTAGATTTCCTCTCAGGTCATTTCCAGCACAGATTCCATAATTTCTAGAAATTTTTGTTTTTCTATATTTACTAATCCATTTCTGCATTCTACTGGTACATTTCCATGTTTAGAGCCTGCTGTGCCCAGCTGAGTGAGCTCTGCCCTCTGACTTTTCCGTCTTTGCCTTCAAAAGGAGAGTTATCTATCTAGTTTCCACCTTCATTTTTTTCCATGTAAATGTGCAGGATGGAAGACAGGCCAATTTTCCTAGATTCTCTATCACTGTTGGAAACATGCAAGTTAGGAATAATCCAATCACTCATGGAACCTTTCTATTGATCCAGTTGAACCGCAGCATAACCCCAGGCAGTCATTGATAAGAGTGAGCTTTGAAAAAGTGATTTTCTCTGTGAACCAGAAATTTCCCAGAAGGGTGGTGGGTGGGAAGAGAATAGATTTTATATGCTAGCAAAATGGTCATTTTCTAGGATTATCTTTGATACTCAGAGGCAGCATGTCATAGTGGATACTCTATCCTTAGCCTTGGAGTCTGGAAGTCCTCTGTTCAAATCATGTTTCTTACACATACTGGTTGTATGACCCTGGGTAAATCTCTTAACAACTTGATGGTCTAGTTAACTGACCAAGATTATAAATTGCAGAGAAGGTGACAATCTGCATTGGAATTACCTGTTCTGGGAATTCCCTATACATATACACATATGTGTGTATAACAATTCTAGTTCATATTCCTGTCGTTGATAAAAAAACAAACAAATTTAGTCAATCACTGTTGCATTTAGATCAGCTGTCCATATCATATTTACAATGTCCTCATTGCTTTTTCCTTTCATTGAGATGACAAATTATATCTTCATGTGACTGGTTACTCTCTTGCATGATCCATCTGAAAGAAAAAAAAAACTGTTTCCATTGTGGCAAAATTTATGATATGATCAGATGTGTGTCATCACCTTGCACATAAATTTATAACTTATAAACTAATATTTTTCAGGAGATGCCATATTTGTGTTGCTTGGCATAAGTAGCCCATGCAGCCAGAAAGACACATTTGGAGGGCATTTCAATTTTCTCACGCTGTAGAAGCAGCTTATAGTTTAAACCATTTGACTGGTTCTCATTTTTGTACCAGAACATACGAAGAAAAAACATCTAGTTTTATTTCACAGATGTTTCCACTTTAGCAGATGTGAATTTATGATTTTTCAGAACAAGATTCATATGCTTAAAATTCCTCTGGGATTTTAGATTTTCATTTGAAGTCCCTCTGGGCCTTGAGATTATAAATCTATCATTTCTGGAGTTACTATTTATTTTTCTAATCAACGCTACATTCTCCTATGAAATTCATGAAGACATGTCATCAATATGTAATCTTGTCCAAATGTATCTGTACTTTTAAAAGTCCCTATGAAAATAAAGAGGTTAGATTCTGCTTTGTGGTAGACTTATCCTCAAAATGCAAGGCATATAAGCAAAGCAATGAAGAGGATGTTATTGAGTTATTTTTATTTTTCCTGGGCCCATTTGAGCCTACCTTGACATGAGGCTTCATGGGCTTCCTAACAACTAAAATAAAAAGGAAAGAGAGAAAAGAAGAGAGAGAGAGAGAGAGAGAGAGAGAGAGAGAGAGAGAGAGAGAGAAGAGGTGGGTTTGTTTTGCTTTTCTGGCCACCAGAGGCAGACTGAAGGGAAAGTAAATGAAGAAGAAGAAGAAGGAGAAGGAGAAGGAGAAGGAGAAGGAGAAGGAGAAGGAGAAGGAGAAGGAGAAGGAGAAGGAGAAGGAGAAGGAGAAGAAGGAGGAGAAGGAGAAGGAGGAGGAGAAGAAAAAGAGGAGGAGGAAGAGGAAGAGGAGAAGAGAGGTTCTTCATAAAATCTTGGTCATTAAAGTCCCACTTACTTCCATCATTCTGGTCTGTTACAAGGTTCCCAATCATATTCATCCTTGCAAGAACAGATGTTGAAGTTTTGTCAGGACACATCATGTTTTCTTCTTTATTCTAAGTCCTATCCAAGAACTAAAGCCCAAAGAAGGGGCTCCCCTCTACCCCACCCTCCTTTGAAGAGGCAAGTCAGTTTGGAATCAAAAGAGTCCTCTATGTATTATAAACAGCAGAGAGTCTTTGCCTTAATCCAGTCATCTGATTCAAAGCCTCCTTTCACGTATTGTTCTGACTAGATTCCAGGAGGGAAGGGGATGGGTGAGTTATGCTCAAAATACTCAAGTTGGTATGTGATCTCATTGATCTGAATGCTTCCTCTAATGATACAGATTGCAACTCATAAAAGCCTGCCCATCCTGTGCAACTGTCACCCCCTACGGCCACAAGTTCACCACAGTGGTGTGTATGTGGTGGGGTAAGGGGGGAGCGCAGCACTTTAAGGTGCAGGAACCTTCCCCAATTTCTCCTGCCATCACAAGGATAACAGTGAAGTATTAAAGATGTCGCCTTGTTATACTATAACCGAGTGACTAGCCCATCTCCTTTTTAGCTCACACAGTTTCCTCATTACATTCTTTATTCTTGCTCTTCTCCAAAGTTCCTTATTTCTCGCATGTTGCAGCCTCTTCACATCTACCATGCACCACTCCCTTGCCTTCTACATAACACATTTTTTTAAATTCCTAAGAGACTTAAGTTTCCTATGTCATGCAGTATTGTAGCAACACTATTAGTATGCAAAAGATAGGCCTTTGATTCTAACAGAAGTTTGGGGTCATTAAAGGAGCTTTGAAATATCCTGAAGGCATTCTAGCCTGATTTGCCTATAAGTTTAATTTTAGGTTAAATTTACTGTCCATTTGCTTGTCCCAGCAAGTCTCTTGATGGACAAAGTCTTATAGATTCTGTCTAACTTTCTGTCATGATCTGGGCAATGGACATTTCTTTATCCATTTGTTTTTTCTGATGTGGATGATTAGGCCAAACTCTTTTTGGTGTAACTGACTTCTTCCAATACACTCTGTAATGTTCTGGAGCTCAAAATGAATAACATGATGCCAACTAGGAGCATCTGGAGGACTTCATCATTCATAGATAATCTCTCATCAATTGAGAATCTGTGTGGGATTGAATTTCTCCATCACGGTTAGAATAAATAACATATCTCCCTGTTTAATATTCTTACCTGGCATTTATGGTAAGAAGGATGTCAAACAAAACTGTCTTTGTTGTCACATCTTTCAAGGAATTTTTAATAACTTTGATGTATGGATGAAATAAATTCTGTGGTAAGAAAGCCTGTAAGAAGGTGTTTTACTGTATCAGGATCATTTTTTAAAATATATAACAAAAAATAAGCTTTATCTAAACTGGTTTTATGCTCTGCTTTTCTTCCTGTTTTATGAGATGATACTGCTTATAATCCCCTATCATTCTTCTCCCAAAGACATTACAAATGTATTTTTATTCTAAGCTATTCTGGTCCTCTGAATGGCAAGTAAGTAAAGCTTTTGCTAATTAAAGCACTTCCTAGGCTTTTTTGATCTCCTTGTTCTGACAATTAATTTACATTGTTTAAATTTCCCTGTGAAATTACTATAGGCTGTCTCTTTGCACTTCTGTTCATCATTCATATTTTATTATTAATAACTCTGTTGATTAGGTCAGGATAGAATTATGTCAATTGTACAACATATGTTTTTTATTGTTTCTTCTAGCTCTACACTAATTTTGGTCTTTGCTCCATCAGATCAGTGGTCTTACTGTAGAAAGCTGATTTAGGAATGACTAACCCAGGAGGCAATAGGGTGCAGAGGAAGGAACAATGGCTCTGTAGTCAGAGGACCTGGGTTCAAATTACCACTCTGAAGCTTGCTGCCTGTGTGACATTGGACAAGTCTCTTAATCTCCTTGGGTCTCAGCCTCTCTTCTACAAAATGAGGAAGGTTGAACTAAATAATTGTGTGTGTTTGTATGTGTGTGTGATATACACAGACATAGTTGTTGTTTCAGTCATATCTGACTCTTCACAACCCCATTTGGGGTTTTCTTGGCAAAGATGCTAGAGTGTTTTGCCATTTCCTTCCAGCTCATTTTACAGATGAGGAAACTGAGGCAAACAAGATCAATTGACTTGACCAGGGTCACACAGCTAGTAAGTACCTAAGGCAGGATTTGAATTCACAATGATAAGTCCTCCTGGTTCCCAGCCCAGTGCTCTATCCACTATGGCACCTTTGTCTATACACACACACACAGCCATCATCTCAGTTTAGACACTCATCACCCTTCATGCAGACAGTTAGAATGGCCTCTACCCCACAAATCTGTGCAAGGACACAAACCTGACCTATTCTCATATCAAATATAAACTAAATTGCTTCGCTCTTAAAGGCCTTCATAACCCAACCCCAGCCTAGCTTTCTAGCTTCAGTGTATATGCTCCCTTTCCTTCACTCTGTGATCCAGCTACACTGACCTTCTTTTTGATTGTCTCATATGGCAGGCACTTCATCTCCCATCTCCATGTTTTTGCACTAGCTGTCCCTCCATGCCAGGAAGGCACTCACAACTCACTTCCTCCTCATAAATTCCCTCACTTCCTTCAATACCTCAAGCACCACTTACAATAGTACCTTTCCTGATCCCCAAGGTGCTAATACCCTCTCTCACTAGTTACCTTATATTTGTATAAGGGAGTTATATTCTATAGCTTGTAGTAATTTTGTATTTATTTCATATTAAGTAGCTAGGTGGCTCAGTCAATAGAGCACTATAGGAAGAGGTGAATTAAAGTCTTGGCTCAGACACCTACTAGCTGTGGGGCCCTGAGCAAATCATTTACCCTTTTTCAATCTCAATTTCCTCATCTGTATCTAAATTAGGATAGTAATAATAGTCCCTACCTCGCAGAGTTGTTTTAAGGACCAAATACACACACACACATATGTGTGTGTATGAATATATATATATATATATATATATATATATATACACACACACACACATATGTATATATAATGTAGTGTTTTGTAAACTTCAAAGCACTATATACATTGTAGTTATTATTATTTGCACATGTAGGCTCCCCTGATAGGATATAGGCTCCTTCATAGTAGGGATTGTTTTGGTTTCTGGTTTTTGGTTTTGTATTTGTGGCTCTAGCATTAAGTGCAGTACTTGGCACATAATAATCTCTTTAAAAATGCTTGTGTGATAAGTGGTCTACCTGCATTCCTGATCTTAACCTTTTCCAATCTGTTCATTGCCCTACAAATGACAATTCTGACAGTCAGAGAGGCTGGATAAGGGATATTTTTACAAGATAATTACATTCTTGATCAATGTGTGGTGATCAATAAATATCCTCAGAATTTTGGGCTGTATATGTAGATGTTGTACTTGGTCTCTACTTTACTGGAAGGGATCTGTAATTTAAAATTCAAGATGAAAAGAAAAAGGCTAATAAAGGTTCACCAAGAATTTCCTTCCTATATACAGAGCAGAATAAGACTAAATTTCATTGTTCCTCCCTGCAAGGATTCATTTTCCCTTTGGCTTAAGGATGACAATAACATGACCTGTGACTTAGGGACCAATAAAAAGAGAGCTATATGAAAGACTTAGGATTTTCTCAATGTAGGAACCCTCATTTTTTTCACAGAAACAATTGTAGAGTTTCCTAAGACTTCCTCATGATCACATATCTGGGAGGTTCCAGAGGCAAAATCTGAATCCAATGCTTCCTACTCCAAGTCCAATACTCCATCTACTACTTCATGCCACAACCTTGTGTATTAGGGCTACTTTTTCTGTGCACTCTAATATTCTTTTCATAAATATTCCTAAAGTGTAGTAAGTTGCTTGACCATTTTTAAAAATAAATGAAATGATTATAATATTGACTGTTCAACAATGCTGCTACTTTTTTCCCCCTAAACTC